AGGGAGTACTTGAGTTGAGGCCCAATGTCCATTTGCACCCTTAATTCTTAACATATATATATAAGTACATAGATCTATTCCCCTCTCATTACATATAAATATATTTACATATGTACATGCCTGGATTTAGACCTCTATAAATGTCCTTTGCCTCCTGGTTCTTTCCTCTGTTTCCTATTACTTTCCTCTTGTCCCACCATCACGTTTGCCTTCATTAGGGTTTAGTAATTCCTTGCTGCTATATTGGCCTTGATTAAGTCCACTAGGCATCCTACATCCTTCTCTCCATTGATTTTAGGAACTTGTGTTCCCCTGTCCTTAGGTTGGTTCCCCTGCCCTTCCTTTCTCCCACCTCCCCTTTTCCTGTGTCCCCTCCTCCCCCCAACGAACCATTGGTCCTGTTCTTTTCATCTCTAATTGTTTATCCCGCCTGTCTTATCTAGATAGACATGCAGAGATATTAATAAGCACAAAAACCAGGCAAAGCCAAACAAAACAATAGAGGTAGTTAAAACCAACAAAAAGAAAGCCACTGACAAAAAGGAAAAGGCGATCATGGATTGTGATAAGAATTGTATGAGCCCCCAATAAAATGATTTAAAGAAAAAAAAAAAGGAAAAGCCTCTACATAGTTCAAGGTCAGTTTGTTGGCCAACTTGAAGCATTTTTGATGAAGATCAAAGAATATCTTGACATGAATAAAACAATAATTTTCCCAACTAGACCAGTAAGCAACATCATGATCCACAGAAAAGATGGAAGTTGCCAAGGATTTCATTTTATCTGGGTCCTCAATTAATGCCCATGGAAATGATAGTCAAGGAATCAAATGCCTTATTGCTAAATCTGCTGTGAAAGGCCTCTCTAAAATGTTCCAAAGCAACAACAACAAAAATGTTCCAAAGCAAAGATGCTGCTAAGGTGTGCCTGACCCAAGCCATGGTATTTCCATTGCCTGTCTGTGTGCAAAAACTAAGGAAGACCAAAGAATTGACACATTTTAATTACGGTGTTGTTGAAGAATAATTATTGAACACCATGGACTGTCAGAAGAATGAACACATCTGTCTTGGATGAAGTACAGTCAGAATGCTCCTTAGACATGAGAAGGGGAGGAATGTGTTTCTTGTATTTTGGACATGTTATCAGGAGGTACCAGTTTTGGAAGAAACACATCATACTGGGTAAAAAAGAGGGTCACCAAAAGAGAGGAAGGCTTTTGAGTGATGGATTGGTGCACAGGCTGTCATAAAGGGCTCAAACATGAAAATGATTGTAAGGACAGGGTTGTATTTCTTTCTGTTGTACACTCCCTAACCCACAGGTATAATAAACTCATACATTTATGACAGGAGGCAGCTTTACAGGTTGGAATTCTATAAAGTTAGGTTCTAATCCCCCACAGTAGCTGAGAGGTCAAAGTGGTATCTTCCCTACTTATTACATTTTTAAGGGATGGCTTGCAGGTCATGAGGAAACATTGTTGGATTGTCAATTTGGCAAGAAACGTATGTACAATTACACAATTTCTGGAGTAAATGTTCTAAGGGAAAGGGAAGAAGGGGTTGGGGAGTCTCTTTTCATTTTGGTACCTGGGAAATTTTTTTCTTCTGTTCAATTTATATTTGTTACTCATGGAGCATTTTAAGTGTATAAGATGAGTGTTATTTATACAAAAGTCTCTTGTGGATTTTTTTTTCTTTTACAGGGAGAGATATAAAAGACCTGCGTTTCAATCTCAAAGTGTCTCTCAATTCCATGGTCTTTCCAATGCGCCAAGAAGTGGTTTGTCGAGGATCTGATGGTGTGTACTCTTTCTGCAGAGCTCTGAAAGGAGGTAAACGATCAGTTCATGTGGCTCTTTAAACATAACAGAGTTCCTTAGGAGAATGTCGTGAAGTTCAAATACACTGAAAATGCAGAGTTCAATTTCCATGAGTAAATCTTCATCCTGATCTATGCTGTTAGAACTTCAAGCAGCTTAAACAACATTTTATCATAATATTATTAACTTGTTTTTAAGATGATACTTATCTGTGTTTAATGGGACATTGATGTGTTTACATTGTTTAGATTAGTGCTTTACATCACCTTAGCTAACAGGCCTCTTTGCATGAATATTTAACCAATTATTTTTCACTGAAACTCACCAAATATTTTTATTCAGCTATATTGCATTTTATTCCAATGCCTTCCTTTTTTATTAATTATTTTATTGTGGGGCTCTTACAAATCTTATAACAATCTATCATTCAATTGTATCAAGCACATTTGTACATATGTTGTCATCAATATTTCCAAAACATTTTCATTCTATTTGAGCCCTTGGTATCAACTCCTCTCTTGTACCCTCCCTCCCCCACCCCTACCCCCGTTGTGAACCCTTGATCAATTAATTATATATTTTTATTGTTATTTCATGTCTTACACTGTCTGTTGTCACCCTTCACCCACATTTCTATTATTCATCCCCCTGGGGTGTGTGCTATATATTCAGTCCTTTTTTTCTTTACACTGTAATTATTCACAAAGTCAGGAAATTCAGAAAAGTAATTTCCAGACCTGAAGGTTGCCTAAGGGTGAAAGTCTCAGAGGTTCCACCAGTCTTAGTCTGACCAGTAAGTCTGGTCATTTTAACAACTTTGAGATTTGTTCCACCTTTTCCTACCTTTCTCTCCAGGCCATTCTAATGTGATCTCTTTCAGAGCAGCTGGCAGTCAGGCTCCATCTAGTTCTTCTGCTTTCAGGTTGTGGAGACTGTGATCCATTGGTCCACTGTACTGATTGTTTCCTTATGTCTTTTTCTTTAGCAGTTTTATTCGCAAGTAATTTAAATATCATATAATTCAATGGATCCATCATTCAATCATATCATGGAGAATTGTACAATCAGTCCCATATCAATTTTAGAGCATTCTCCCTGCTCCCATGGTCAAATTGAAGATGAGTCATGCAACCGCAATCCATTCTAGTGCTCCCTCCCCTCCCCTGTCTCTTTTAGTTGCTGCCCAAATCCCTTTTCCCTCCCTATCTGCCCCACCCCCCTAGTCCCTATATCCCCTTGTATCTGTTATTATCATTAGGCATCCACTCCTCCTGTGCTTCACAACTGGGAGACCAAACAGAAAGTAATAACAAACAAAATCACGCTAAGGTGATAAGAGTGAAAACATAATAGTATATAGACAAAAGTACTAATTATGTGTAAGAAGGAAAAGACCTCCAACAATAATAAAAAAGCCAGGGAAGACATTTCCATCTTGGAACTAGTAAGTGGTAATTGCATCCAGAACAAATTCAGGTCTCATCTATAGGGCGATCAACTGGCCAAGTCTTGAGTTTGATCCAGCATAATTAAGATTACAATGCTCTCTCCCTGATAGAAAGGCTGATTAAGACCCTTACCTGTGGCTAGAGTGGATCTGCCTGTGGCTCAGTCTGACTAGATAGTCTGCAGATGGGTTTTGGGCTCTCAGTGTCCCCCACAAATTGGGTGTTCATAATTTTTGCTCTGATGCTTTTCTTCTCACCATATTTGAGTTTTGTCATTGTCATCTTTGGATCACACAAGCTGGTGTGCTTCTTCTTTGTGGACTTAGTTGACTCCTCACTTAGATGGGCGCATGTTTGAATACAAGCCTTTAAGACTCCAGACACTTCCAATTGATAACCGGGCACCATCTTCTTTCTTCACCACACTTTGCTGTAGCACCCTTATCTTCAGTGATTATTTCATGAAGGTGAGTATGTAGCAGGGCCATGATGTAAGAACTAATTGTTATTAAGTTGGAGCTAGGATTTAGTGGGAGCCCCAAACCCATTCCTGGATCTGTGCCTTTTAAAAAAAATTTGCTGTAACTTGGGAGCCAATACATATGTCATATCCTTCATAATCGAATCATGTCCAAAATAATTATGCAATTTCTTCCATAATCATATGCTTCCCAAAACATACTTTTCCTTCCTGAATGTCTCTTGATTTTCATCATTCTTCTTTCCTCTGGACAGGGAGATACCTATAGTTACATATTCAATGGTTGATCATGTTGATCATGAGCTGTAAGACCCCAATTACTGACCAAAGATTAATGATTTTTAAAAGTAACATTTTAATGTGGTTTTGGTGTCAGTTTAGTCAGTGAATTCATTTCCTATCTAATAATTTTCATACAAATTATTGTGTCATTGGTTGTAATGTTCACAATGTGTCAGCATTCTCATTAATTTCATTCTGTTTGGTCTATGGGGCTAGCTTCCCTTCCCCTCCCTGCCCTCTCATCTTACCTGTGGGTACACGTTAACCATTTGGTCTCATACAATTGATGTTTAGTCGAGCCCATTACTCCAGCATAGTACTATTTATTTAAAAAAATCTTCAGAATAGTTTCACTTCTCAAGGAAAAGATGTCCCTGGTTGAATTATGCCCTTCCAAAATATATGTTGCAAATTCTAATCTCTATGCTCTGGGTTGCAATCCCACTTGGAAATAGGTTATCTTTGTTATGATAATAAAGAAAGAATAGTGTTGTCAGTATTTTAAATGGATCTTTTTTGAGACATGAGAGAGGTTCACTAACAGAGGAGAGGGGAGGTAAGGCGAATGCCAGGCCCCATGGAGGTTTCCAAGGAAAGTAGAAGCAAAAGCGGAAGTGACGGCATCTTCCTCTAGAGAGAAGCTTCCAGGCGTAGTGGTTACAGGTGGGGCTGCTGCCCACAGGTCAGTAGTTTGAAAACACCAGCTGTACCTCAAGAGAAAGATGAGGCTTTCCACTACCCCTAAAGAGTTAAAGTTTGGAAACCCGCAGGGGCAGTTGTACCCTGTCCGATAGGGTCATTATGAGTTGGCATTGACTTAATGGCAGGGAGTATTTGAGAGGGCTGATGATTGGTGTATGGAGGTGCCAGTCTGTGAGGTTAGGTGTACAAGAGAAGGAAGAGAAGGGGTATATGTATATATATTTTTTATTGGGGGCTCTTACAGCTCTTATCACAATCCATCCATCCATTGTGTCAAGCACATTGTACATATATTGCCATCATCATTTTTACAACATTTTATTTTTACTTGAGTCCTTGGTATCAGATCTTCATTTTTTCCCTCCCTCTTCCACCATTCTTCCCTTAATAATTTATAAATTTTTTTTTCATCTGTTACACCAACCGCTGTCTCAAAGGGGTAGATTTTTTAAAAAGTCATTTATTGGGGTCTCATACAACTCTTATCACAATCCATCCATCCATCATTGTGTATCAATTACATTTGTGCATTTGTTGCCATCCTCGTTCTCAAAACATTTGCTCTCCATTTAAGCCCTTGGCATCAGCTCTTCATTTTCCCCCTCCCTCCCCACTCCCCCCTCCCTCATGAACCCTTGATAATTTATAAATTATTATTTCATGTCTTACACTGTCCGAAGGGAGACATCGGATGGTCTTCCTTCATCCGCTTTTCTGTTGTCCGTCCACCGGGGAGGGGGTTATATGTAGATCTTTGTGATGGTTCTCCCATTCTATCTCACCCTCTCTCCACCCTCCAGGCATCGCCACTCTCACCACTGGTCCCGAGGGGTTCATCTGCCCTGGATTCCCTGCATTTCTAGTGAAAGGGGTAGATTTTTGAAGAGAAAGTTAGTGAGTTCTGGTTTAGACCTGCTGAGAGTTCAACGTAATTTTGAATTGTGTTCTGTGGGCAGCTGGTTTTGTAGGTCCAGAGCATGGGAGAAATTGTCCGGGGGATATTCTGCTTTAAGATTCATTGATGTACCAAGAGGCCCTTGACATTTGGGAGAAAAATTTGCAAATGTCATACATTGCTATTTTAAAAATAACTTAACTTTTATGCTGTTATAAAAATAGTGCATCTTTAGGATACAATATCAGGATATATTGGACAAGTAAAATTAAAAGAAAATAATCACACATAATCTTATCATTTCTTGCATATAAATATATACAAGGGGGCTTTAAAAATGGTGTGGAAAAATGGAATTGAAGGTAATAGATTTTTTCTTCTTCAAATTTTGAAGACTCTGCCCATCTAGTTGTCTTTATTTAACTATATATTCCTTCTGTAAATATGGATAATTCCTCAGTAAATGCCAATTTTGTGATCATCTGAGGCTTGGGTCTTTCATCCCCCACACACTTACCGAGAATTTGAGTGCACAACAAGGGAATCACAAGGATGCACTTTGAGAAAGCAGAGAAAGGCCTAAGAAACTACTTTTTTCCTGGTCTAGCCAGGGTTCTCTCTTGTTTCCTGCAGTGTGGGCAGGGGTGTCAAGCCAAACACCTATAGGAAGAGAATGGGAGCAGTGACCAAAATGTGAGCTTTTCAAGAGAGGCAAATTGAAAGAGTGCATGCTACTGTGTTAGTTTGGGTAGACTAGAGAAACAAATTCATAGACACGCATATGTGTCTAAGAAATAGCTTTATATAAAAGAGCAATTGTATATTGAGAAACACCCCAGCCCGGTTCAGATCAAGTCCATAAGTCCATTATTAGCCCAGTGTCTGATACTAATCTATAAATTCCTCTTTAGATTCACCCAACACATGCAATGACACTGAATACAGGAAGATCACAGGCCAGTGTGTGAGAAGTCTTGTGGATCCAGTGGCGGTGGAGGCATCTCAGCACCAGCAGGGGTGTCCATGTGACTCCTCCAGCTCCAGGGCTCTAGCATAGCTCCATGTGTCTTTGCAACTGGAATATCTCACAGGGAGTGAGAGTGTCCCACCTCCAGGGAGCTATTTATCTCCTTAGTGCTTCCAAGTGAGGTCATCAAGCTGTGAACTGATTGACAGGCCAAACTCCACCCCTTCCCAATTTGACACCAGGTTATGTAACTACCACATCCACAGAAGTTAAAGCTCTTTCTTTCTACTGTACTAGGAATTTGAACCAGATAGACTTGCATTTAAAAATGTGGGTGAGCCGGAATGCTAACTAGAACCAGAGAAAATACAGTGGCTAGAAACATAAATCTCACTCTTAGAAAACAAGGGCAGTGTTCAAGTTACATAGAAACCAAATTTCTTGAGAGGCTCTGTTGAAAATGCCAGTGGCTGCCTCAAAGCTGACACAGCCTCTTTAAATGAAGATCCCTCTGTACACTCCCCGCCACAATCCAATGTCACAGAACAGTCTCTTGAAAGGGCTCACTACGTGTCTTCCAAGTCTCCCATTCCAGGGCTTAGTTGTTACTTGCTGTTTGAACAGATTTTTATTCATAGTGACCCTACGGGACAGAATAGAAATGTTCCCTAGTGTTTCTGAGGCTGTGATCTTTGTAGTAACAGACAGGCCCGTCTTCTTCCCGTGGAGAAGCTGCTGGATTTTAACCTCCAACCTGGCAGCTAGCAGACTGCATTGCAGTCTCGGGTCCTTTTGGAACAAAGGGCCCTGCATTTTTATTTTGCACAGTCCTGGAGTGTTGGGTGACTAAAGCAGAACCCCTGCTCTCCTGGTAGCGGAGGAAACACCACCATATATAACGAAGCAGTGAAACAAGACAGATTCAGATTGTGATACTGCTGTCAAGGAAATCAGCAGGTCTGTCTGTGAGCCATCAGGAGCCATCACCACAGCACGGTGTTTAAGTGCTCAGCGTGAACTGAAAAGTCAGTGACGTAAACACACCAGCTACCCTGTGTGTGAGAGACGTGGCAGTCTGCTTCCCGAGAGATTACAGCCTTGGAAACCCTTAGGGGCAGTTCTACTCTGTCTTACAGGGTTGCTATGAGTTAGAATTAACTTGATGGCAACTTGATGGGTATCTCTCTCACAGACACCCTAATGGACAGGGCTGGCACAGGTTGGTGGAGAGTCTCTGAAGGTCTGAGGAAGCATATGGGAATAGTCGCCATGGTATGGAATTCGTGGTTTCTTTAGTTTTGCATAGGGCTGTCTCTAAAAGTAGTAAATGTATAATAGGGGCACTATATGCTATGAAGCAAACAAACACCAAAGAAAAAATTTGCCCAATAATAACTAATATATTTTTTATTTTGCAGAGACGGTGAATACAAACGTATCATTCTCCTACACGGCTCTAAACTTTTTTAAGGTAATGTTCAAGATTTGTTTTGTATTTCCTCAAAATTTGGTAGTAGCAGATGTGTTAAGGATTTGAAAGAAGCAATCCAAAATGTCTAAAAATAGATGTAAAAAGTAAGATGTTTAATATTCTTTTTCACTTTTTTGGTATTGTAGTACTTCTTTCTGCAGCATATGAAAAAGTTACATAAAATGATGCTTCTTTTTATTGCATCTTCTCTAACATACTTTGCTGAAATTTAGGCAAATGTTCAGTATTAGTATATTGAATGATCTTCAGTTTATAACACTGGACAACCACTATGTATAACTCAGTAAATCTCTATATAATATACTAAATACCTAGCAATATAAGTATTAAAACTTCTGACTTGCCAACCTGGTTCGGTTCCAAAGACCAGATTGTTATATAAAAGTCAAAGTTATGCAAATATTCAGGATGACCATAAGAGATCACAAAATGGGAGAAGACTATATCATTACATAGCTGTCAAATTACATCATCACTTAACTGCCAAATTCCTGAGATTCATGGCTGAACCAAGTTGACACATAACCTTTAACTGTCATAATCAGCATTACTCTTACCTCTCACTTCCACATTCATTACTATCAGATGCACATCGTTAATGTGCAAAATGGATAGTAGTTATTTCACTGTTGCTGTAAATGCAAATGTCAGTTAATGAGCTACTGAGAAGTACTCAATATATACACACATATATGCAATCTACACACATATAACTTATAAAAATTGCTTAGGAAAATAAAGATTTTATAAATTATAGACTTATTTTTGTTCAAAATTTTTCTTGGAAACAGTTTTTGTAAACATAATTAATGTCTAGAAACAAGTACAGATATAAATTTAGAGAATTGCATGTAAATACCTAGCAATCAAATGTTTTGTATGTTTCACTTTTTTTAGTGACTTAAGATAAATGTAAGCATCGTATATTCCTCAGCTATTTTATAAGTAATCTCTGTTTTAAAAACTCTTAGGGTACTTAAACATTGAGAAAAAACATAATTTTGTAAGAACAAATGGGTTTTATGCTCATTGAATTCAAAGGCATGCACATTTAATTTGTTTTTTTAAGAGTTTTATAGGCATATATTTCACATGTGCAATTCAATAGTTCCAGCATATTAATGAGAAGTCATTTGTCGAGGCTAGAGGCACGCTTGGGTCCTGGTTATTGCCTGGGGGTGCTAGGGTCCTCGAAGAACAAGTGCTGACCTTATTCACCGGCTGTGCGTCTCGCGGCACACTCAGTCACCAGGTTAGCGACATGCGTCAGGAAAAAGAAAAAAGATGTCATTCATCTCCACAATCAATGTTGTACAATCTTGTACTCATTATCATCAGCTCCCCAACTCCCCCAAACCTGGCCGCCATTCCCTCCAGACACCGTCAATGCAGGCCCTCTCTATAGATCTACCCACCCTGGATTTCATATACAGAAAAACCTAGAAAGCGCAACAAAACCAACAAACAAAACCACACTGCACTTCGAGTGATAGCAAGGCTGCTTACATGCCTGGTCTCTGGTCAGAGGGAAGTCACTGGAGGCTTAAGCCCTGTGAGTGAGCTTTGGGCTCCGCTGTCACCCATAGCCTTCCATGCACCAAGTGTTCACAATTTCAGCTCTGATACGAGTCCCTCCTTCAGGTTTGGCTTTTTTCATTTACTATCCTTTATCATTTTCCATCGCGTATTTTCATCTCATTAGAAAACTACAATCAATTCGATTTGAATGGCCTCTGTTTAAACAAACAAAAAATTCTCACTAAAGCCTGTAACGTTTTCTATTACTCATATTTCGTTTTGTTTTAGGGACAATACACAATTGTTGTAGAAGCCGTCACTGGAAGTCACGACGACCAGCTCTTCTGTTTGAATGTGACCGCCATACACGAATCTAAATTCAAATAGAATAAATTGAGCATGTTTGTTTTTCAAAGGGGTGTGTTTGTGTGTGTGTGTGTGTGTGTGTGTGTGTGTGTGTGAAAGTTCTCTCCCCACCCCTCCCACATACACACAAATAAAGAATTCTCCTGAGCTCATTCACATGCTACTGCTTTGGAGCAAACTACCAGTATTGCTCCTCTGCGTGCGGGCAGCTGTCTGCTCTGCCCTGTCAGACGGTGTCACGTGCTGGGACAATAGCACATGCCAACCCAGACAAAATTCTTTCCCTGCCTTCCTGGAGTTTATATTTCCATGATGGGAGTGGTTTAGCTTCTTGGTGATGCTATATCAGAAGTGGTGCAAAATGGATAGCTTTAAGTAACAAATTTACTTGCTCACAGTTTAGGAAGTTCCCTCTCTGACTGCCATTGAATCATTTCTGATTCATAGTGACCCCATAAGACAGAGTAGAACTATCCTTGTAGGTTTCTAAGACTATAACTCTTTCCAGGAGTAGACAGCCTCATCTTCCTCCTGTAGAGCTAGCTGCTTGTGGTTTTGAACTACTAACCTCTCAGTAGCCCAATTCATAACCCACAACACCACCAGGATTCCTGTCTTTAGGAAGCTGGAAGTTTGAATTCAGGGCTCTGGACCTAGGGCAAGGCTTTCTTTCTCTGTTCGCTCTGATTTGCTCAGCCCACAGACTGAGTAAGTATGAAGAGAGGATACAACCCTGATGCACACCTTTCCTGATTTAAAACCATACAGTATTCCCTTGTTCCATTCGTACAACTTGCCTCTTGATCCATGTACAAATTCTGCATGAGCACAATGAAGTGCTTTGCAATTCCCATTCTGCTCAAGGTCATCTGTAGTCTGTTATGGTCCACACAGTCAAGTGCCATGGCACAGTCAATAAAGCACAAGTAAACATCTGTGATAGTTAAGGTTTATTGTGACAACCTGGACAATGAACACACGTGGGATTCATTGAAGGGCAGTTGAATTGAAGGGCGGAGAGAGAAATGGTTTGGCGAGCCTTGTCTTCTTGGTCTCTTGCTCTCTGAGGGTTGGATCAGGGTGCAGCTGCCTTAGCTAATTCCCTGCTTCAGCTTGCAAGGCTCACTTCCTGCAAGACATCCCTGAGGAAAAGCCTCATGGGCCTACTCTGATGCAGCCCTGGGTGCTGGAACACAGGTGTGGAGACCCCTGCCAGCGCTGAGATGCTTACACACTCACTGATTTGGCTTTCCTCCTGCATTCAGTGTCATTGCGTGTGTTTTGTGAGTTTGAGGAGGATTTTGTAGATCGGTGTTGGACATATGGGCTTTTGTTGGACTTAGGGGCTTGGACAGGACTGGGTTGGGATGCTTTCTTAATGTACACTTACCCTTGATATAAAACTCTCTAATAAAATATGAGTGTCTATGAATTTTGTTTCTCTAGGCTACCCAGACTAATTCAACAGCCTTCTAGTATTCTCTGCTTTTAGGTAAGATCCATCCACATCAGCAATGCCACCCCTTGTTCCATGTCCACTTCTGAATCTGGCAGCTCCTTGTCACTATACTGCTGCAACCATTGTTGGATGATCTTCAACAAAAATCTCCGTACATGTGATATCGGTGATATTGTTCTGTCATTTGAGCATTCTGTTGGGTCACCTTTGTCTGGAATAGGTATAAATCTGAATCTCTCCCTGTTCATTGGCCCAGAAGCTGTCTTCCACATTTCCTGGCATAGACAAGTCAGTGCCTCATCAACTTGTTGAAACATTTCAGTTGGTATCCTATCAATCCCAGGAGCCTTGTGCCACAGATGTAGTCCATTTGACTTCATGTGTATAGTCACCTTGAAAAAGTTTTTGCTATGAACAAGATGTTGGTTTTATAAAATTCTGTCATGTGATCTCCAGCTTCGTTTCCATCACCAATATTCTATTTTCCAATGACTATTCTTTGCACTTTGTTTCCAGCTTTTGCATTCCAATCACCATTATCAATGCATCTTGATTACATCACATGGATCACTTTCAGACCGAAGTAGTTGATAGAATTCTTCACTTTCTTCATCACTCAAATTAGTGGTGGGTGCATACATTTGAATAATAGTTATATTGATTGCATGTCCTTGAAAGAAGATAGATACAATCCTATCCCAGGCAGCACTGTACTTCATGGTTGATTTTGCATTGTTTTTGACAGTGAATGCCATACCTTTCTTCTTGATTGTGTTATTCCTGACAGAGTAAATCATATTATTTCCTGATTCAGAATGATCAATACCAGTCATTTTCAGCTCACAGATGCCTAGGATATCAATCTTCAAATGTTCTATTTAATTTTTGATGATTTTCAACTTTCCTAGACACAAACTCCACATATTCCAAGTTCTAATTATTAGATGTTTGCAGCTATTTCTCCCTATTGGACATATGGGCTATGTTAGTCTGAGTTGACTAGAGAAACAAATTAATAGACACTCATATGTGTCTTTCATAAGAGCTTTATATAAAAGAGCAATTGTATACTGAGAAAACATCCCAGCACAAACCAGATCAAGTCCATAAGTCTGATATTAGCCCATATGTCCGATACCAGTCTATAAATTCCTCTTTAGACTCACACAGCACATGCAATGATGCCGAATGCAGGAAGATCACAGGCCAGTGGAAGGAAAGTCTGGGGAACCAGTGGTGATGGAAGTATCTCAGCACTGGCATGGGCCTCCACTTGGCTCTTCCAGTTCCAGGGCTCTGGCTCCATCAGCGTAGCTCCATGTGTCTTGTCAACAGGAATGTCTCCCAGGGAGAGTGTGTGTCCACCTCCAGGGAGGAAGACAGGTTTCCCAGAATCTTTCGTAGAAGGCCAAGCCCACACAGAGGCCTCATTGGCTATGACCTGATTGACTGGCTAGTCTCCACCCCTTCACTGAAGTTGACAGCAGTGTATGTAACTGTCACGTGAGCTAATATGGGACTTAAGGACTTGATGTGGATTGGGCTGGTGTGTTTTCTTAATATACATTTACTCTTTGATATAAAGTTCTCTCTTACACACACGAGTCTCCCTAGATTTGTTTCTCTAGTCTACCCAGACTAATACACACTCCTTTTGAGTAGTTCTGGAACCACCAGAGGCATACTACAGAAAACCCTGTGGTAATGGCATTTCCCCTCACCATTGATTTACTTTAGGAAGGAAGGAAAGATCATAGTCGTAGAGGTTTACTTGTGCAGGGCTGCATAGCTGGGATTGAGAGGCGTACCTGGATTGCTCTTCTGCCTGAGAAAGCTGGGGCGGCCATTTTTCAAATGAATCCAAAGGCCCAGGTAAGCAAAGCCGTGGGAGATGGAGAAGGTGTTTATGGTCTCAGAGATTCACTCCTTGAGGGCAGTCCTGCTGCAGAGCCATGCGAACGTGAACTTTCCCTGCTATTATTTCAAGAGGAACACAATTGGGAAGTTTTAAATACCTTATTTGCTTTGCTTAAAAACAAAAACAAACAAAACTCTTGACATTGTTTTTCAGATGATACTGTCCAGTATCAAGAAGCCAGGTGAAAGATTCTGTAAAGCAGTTCTCTAATGTTAACTTCTTCTTTTAAAAATTAGCATGGTTCTAAAATGAAATGAGCTCCCAAGCTATAAAAGCATGCGGAGGAAACTTAAGTGCATACTGCTAGGTGGAAGATACCAGTCTGAACAAGACACATACTATGTGATCCCAAGCATGGGACATTCCGGAAAAGACAAAACAAGATAAATAGATAATAAAAATATCATTGGTGGCCCGGAGCTCAGTGGAATAGCAGCGGGGTAACCATGTGGAACACAGGGCATTTTAAGGGCAGTGAAATGATTCTGTATGTGATGGTGGGCACATGCCATTCTGCAGTTGTTAAGGCCCAGAGGACTGTACAACATTAAGGGCGAGTTCTAGTGGACTTCAGTTAATGATAATGTATACCACAGGAATGCAAAAATTAATAATAGGAAAATCATGTGTATATGGAGAGAGAGTATATGGAAACTGCTTTTTCATAAATTTTCATTTAACTTAAAATTGCTTTCAAAGAGTCTATTAACATTAGCATTTTCCTCACAAACTCTTTGCTGACCTCTTAATGGCAAAGTAAGGAAACCTGATAGCAAGGTGTTAAGCAATAGACTGCTACCCACAAACTATTCTGAGGGAGAATGATGAGGTTTTCTGCCCCATAAAGATTTTCGACCTGAGTAACCCTGCAATTGGGTTCCCAGGGGTTGCAAATCCCATGGTAGTGGATTTTAATGGCAAAAGAGTACATTTCACTGTGACAAATTCATAAAGCGCAGGAGTACAAAGATTAACAAGTAAAAATCACTTTTTCCATTGATTTCCCTATACTCTTCTACAACCATACTTAACACTTTGGTGGCTTTTTAGGTATATGGCTTTCCAGACTTACACTACATATGGGTTCCCTTCCATATAGTATTTTTATATACGTGGGATATATATGTACACCTCTTAAGAAATGAAAATACTGAACTTGAAAAATATTTCCAAGTCATTATATATAGGTCTACTTATTTCTTCATTTATGATTATGGCAAAAATATAAATAATACAACATATTCCAATTCAATATTTTCACCTGTACAATTCAGAGACACTAATTGCATCAATTGCATTGTGAAATCATCATCCCTAATCTCCACTGCCCAATTTCCCATCACCGTCAATATTATGCATTTGTCAAACCCCGTAGGGCCATATAACAGAAACGCAATGCTACTCAAGCAATGATTGCTCCTCTCTCCCTCCTGTCTGCCTCTGATAACTACTGTTGAACTTTGATCTCTAAACATTTATCTTTTTAGTGGCTACATAAGTTCTCTTGTTTAGATGTAGCTAAGTATTACTTAATTCCTACAAAATTGGGGGGAGGTAGAATTTATTGTTTCTATTTTAAAGGTGAGGAATCTAAAACTTAGAGAGTTTAAGTAACTCGTTGAAAGTCAGAGAGCTATTAAGTGGATTTGATCTTGGTAA